GCGATAGTAGCCAAAGCTCTTTTGAATTGCAAGAAGCTTCTTCAATTATGTTGTTGAGTATATGGATGGGAATAGCAATACAGTTTCCTAAAAGTATTTTAGATAGCCAAATAAAAATAGGATTAGATAGAATAGAATTACTTAATAGTATAGCAGAAGGATTTTCAGATAAACTTGACTCATCAAACTTAAACCGAGATCTTTTTGAGGTCTTGAAGGCTTTCGAGTCAACTTGGTAATAGCTTTTTAGGTCAGAGACTTAAAACTCTACCTAATGTAGCAGACTACTTTTGGGTATCCATAGAGACAGCTGAGGGATGTTGGGCCTAGATATTAAGTTCAACATTATGTAATCTACTTATATAATATTCTTAATAAAGGATCATTGGCAAAGTTGCCAAAGATTAAAAAAAAAAAGATCACAAATAAGCAAATTATTTATATTATTAATACTGTTATCATTCTTATTATAGAATACAGATTATATAATATTATACTTCTACAGTCCTTCTGCAACCAAATTCTTTCCAAATATTTAATGTAGCTAAACATAAATCTTGCCTAGCTTGATCTATTTCTATCAGTACTATGCTAAACTTTTATTTATATAATATCAAAAACATTTGAGATATCCAACTTCAACTTCACATTACTAACTTTTTGCAACACATATTTGCTAAGTATTTTTTTACATATCTGTATCTAACAATTACAAAATAATTTATGATCAACCATTAGTATACTTCAATATCTACAACCTATTATAGATAAATCAAACAAACATATATTTAACTTTCATATTATCAAGTTTCTTAATCATCTAGATATAACTATTATAGCAAATATTAACTTTTCATAGCCTTATACTATTCAACACAATTTACTATATTTTGAATTAATTCTTCAACAACATCCAAAGTATATACTTATCAAAAAACAACTTAGATAACTTAACTTATTCTATGTTAAGCAACTCTACTCAGCTGACAATACTACTTTTTTAGAATAAAAACATCTTTCACCAAGATTACTTCACTTGCCTAAAAGCAAACAACCAGACTGGTTTATCTACTTAAAGAATAAAGTAATATCTTATAGCTATTATTGCACTCTAGCATTCCAATATCAACAACTAGAAGTTAATTCTTTTATATACAATACATATATATCTAAAAAATCTAAATCTTAGCTACTTAGTTATAATAATAATAATTTTTTTTTTTTTTTTGGTATTAAGGTGAGGCTTTGCTCGTATCTTTATTAATAATTTTTAAAATAGCAACAATGTGAATTACTACAGAAGAGCAGAGATTTACAAGCTG